GCCTGTTACATACTTTTAACAAAACCATTATACCCTAATTTCCCATTTTCAATGGTATCAGGGTATTAAATATAATATATTATTCTGAAATATTTATAAACTACAAGATCATTTCTAGACTATGCCTCCACGTGAAAGATTCAATTATAGTTATACGATCTGCCTAAGAGATATACTTTAAGATGAGAGTAGTCACTGGACTCAAATAAATTTGATCAGGGCGAGTTGCAGGCGCCCATGTAAATAATGTTAAGTCTTTAGCTCTCATAGGTCCCGCGATCGACACACTGAGACATTCGGGTTCGGGTTATGAGCATGGAAAAAACACAATCTGGTATTAAACACATTCCAGCAAATCCCTTATTCGATGTATGTGTGCGTGTGTGTGTGCGAATGTGTGTGGCCTCGGGGTTATATAACAAATTGATATAGAACTAGGAGCAACGCGGCACAATGAAAAGCTATCACAGCTACCGCATTGCATTATAGCAGCCGCACAATTTCCATTGTATTGTTGATTAATTTCTAGCCGCCGGGTCTGGTTGTCTGGTTGAACTACAGCTTGGTGCTTTGTAAACATGTTGACAGACAGAGCGACCGACAGAAAGGCCAACAGACCGACAGACAGCCAGACGGGCTGTATTGACGTTTCATGAGCGGATTATCAACGAATGCATCCCATTTAGAAAATCCCAGTCAACAAGTGTTCTGGTCCTTTCTCACGTTTCGCGCTCTTATTGGTTGCAATCGCGCAATAACAACTTCAATCTAATCCATAATATCTATAAATAAGATGCTTTCATGGTAAAACAATTTTTTATCTATATAATAGAAAATCTATCTCAGAACTTAAATCAACTAAAATTATTATTAAAATTAAAGTTTCTTTAATCCAACATAGTTTTTTTTTATAAATATCTCAGCCCAGACAAAAATAATTATACACATTTAAGTAGGATTGCTTGATTGATTGAAATATTAGTTCAAGTCTAGGATATGTATATATGTAGACTAAACTAGTAAAAATTGGAAATTTTAAATGTAAATAAGATTATATTCTTTAACTTAAAATTCTAGTATTAGACCAATTAACTTTTTAAATCCGACCTTAAACGTATCATTATTTGAGACAAGATTCTAGGCTATAACTCAAGCTCAAGTCACATACCATTAGGATAAATTAGATTATTTTTGACATCAAATTTGTTCCTATCTTCCCAACTCTTACATAGATCTCCTCAGCTACCGTTGCCGCTATACCTACGTCCAGTGCGTGAGTGTAGGTAAGCGTATAATGAGCTTCTGTTCTTGTATATTAATTTCCGGCCGCACCTCTCGTGTCTGTTATGAAATGCATTTATATATTCCAGAGTTTGTACGGCATTGTTCTATTGTACGCAAATCGTTTGTGGCACAATTATTTAAATGACTTAACATGGGCTTAAGGAACGGAAATACCCGCTTAGTATTATCTGTGGGACTGGACTACTGCATTCGGCTGATGCCATTTGCTCTTTTCCGTTCAACCTACTTCGTGTCAAATATTTGCAGGCCAATTTCCATTCTTTTGACCTTGGTTGGGTAATTGCTTAGTCTACTTCAATGGCGAATAAGTCGGTGGGATTATGCTATTGTATATACACTTAGTTCATTGCAGCTGATATACCCGTTTGCTGTTGCCAGTCTGAATGAGCGCAAGCTATTTCATTGTCAATAATGGTTCAATATTCATTGCCCATTATTCCCAAATTGTGTCAAATATTTCGACTATCATTAGAGGTAGATTTTCTGGACACTTTATTCCAGAATCTTGAGCTGGGAGCAGAAATTACAAATTTTCTGTATTTTGCATTGACTGGCCGATTAGAGTCGAGCAGGTTCGGTTCTACATATAGTTAGAACTAGACTTAGTTTACAGCTTTTTGTTAGATAGTTATTTAATGGCTGGATTATGGTAGGCAAATTAGAATTTGGTTATACTAGAGGTAATAAAAATTGATCAAAAATAAAATGCACATAGGTATAGTAAACTGATATTTCGAAATTAATATATAGAAGTTGACGTCAGCAGGCTCTCAGTTCACACGGAACACAAAAGTACATGTACTTGGGTCTGGAATTTGATTGGCTACCCGATCCATCCTTGCTCCATCCTTATTTACTATAGTCGCGCTTTTCGGCCTATTCTTTTATTAACACTATTTTCTTCTTCACACCTGCAAGAAACCATATTATTTGTCTGGTTGCAACATACGGTCTTCATCAACAAACGTATTCTTAAAACAGTTTCGGGGAATTAGGCGTTCACATAGGTACTCTTCGTTTGTCGCTATGGCATCAGAAGCGTTCTTCTTATTAAGATTGCGCACCTGCATATTAAACATTGGATTGCAGATGGGCAATTTAATAACACAGGGAATGGGCATGATGCCACATCCGAAACGATTTATGAAACGTAAAGCCATAGTCAATCAATATATAGACCCAAAATTAGGAGAACCGAGGACTTGCTGATTATTCACTAACGATTTAGATGTACTTACAGGAGATTATCAAATTAAAATGGCTTATATTTTCATAAATTCGTAGTTTTCGAACGATTTTTACATCGCCTGCTTTTTAATAACTTTCCTCTATTTATTCAAGATATATTTCATAAATGTAAATAGAAATATATATTGGATATATATCCATCGGCTCATTGAAATGACTATGATTATTAATTCAATACGCGACTCTTGTATTTGTTTTTATCTCTTTTAAACATGTATGTCATACATATATTCTATATTTCCACTAATTTGTAATTTTGGTTATATACTCGTCTTAGTAATTCGCAATCAATACTATAATATTCGCACCGATTGGGAACCTTATTGTTGATATTTTCTGAAACTATTTTTCGTAGGTTCTCAATTGTTCAGATTGATCAAGGCTTAACCAATTAAACTAAGTGGAAAATTTTAATTTGATATTACGCTTGAACCATCAACCCTCGGACTATTTGTGCGTAGGATCACCTTTCTTTCGGGGTTGACATTCATATGCGAATGATAGCTGCAAAATGCCAAACCATTAAAATGCCTTTTCTATGCAATTTTACGCCATGATATGGGCACGTAGTGTGAGTCCGCTTTTCTTCCTGAATTTGGGTTGTTTTTCCATATTTTCTTCAGCGAATTTGATGGGACTTTTCGCCACCACCATAAGGGCATTTGAGCATATGTCGGTATCTGTGTGTGCGGCGTATGTGTGGCTGGGTGTGTGGCTAGGTGTCATCGTTCTTCGCTGGCGTTGAAAAATGGGCTTGGCCGTCGTCCCTTTTATTATAGTTTAGGTGTCAATTAGCAACGGTGCGGTTGGGTGCCTCTCAATGATACGAATTATATATTTTAGTAGGAAGAGCTCATAATCCGGGATTTAATGAGACAGCACATGTAAACGAACGCGACTGTTGACAATAGCTGGTTACAATTCTGTGCGTAACTTAAACTTGTTCATGAAAAGCGCATAAGATTTGCTAGGAGTATGTGATATACACAGGCCGGCACATCACACGTACACATTTGTATATACAGTCGAATATACATAACGCGACTCACTGACTATACGCATTCGAAGTAGATCTGTATATCACACACATATAGATATATTTGTATGCATGTACATACATACTTATATGCACTTTGTACATTTTATTTGCTTTTTATACCCATTCACGAAAGTGAAATGAGTATATTGGTTTTGTGCAATGTCCGTCTTGCTGTCCATCCGACTGTCCGTATGAGCGCAGTTTATTACGGCGCTATTTAAGCTAGGCTATGGCGGATATATCTAAGCCTATTGTTTTAAAGTTAGAATGTTAATGTTAGCTAATGTTATGATTCTATAGAGATTAATGAAAAAATTAAATGTCTATATTTTGGACACTATTGGTGCCAGAAACCTCGAAATTGGCAAACCGCAAAATTACCCTGTATATTTTTCATTTTTTTAACGTAAGCATCCAAATTTTGCCGCTAGGTTACCGTTAGCTTGCTCTATGAGCATGGCAAATCGAGAAAAACGGAGCTTTCTACGTCATTAGAGCAAAACTGAACTACTCAATTTCTGATGGGATGTGAATGAGTATTCCGCAGTCGGTCTCACCCGACTGCTACGTTCTTACTTGTTATGTATGTATGTGTAAGCATTTTCACACGGATAACGTATATTTATGATCCCGAACTAATATAGGGGTTGGTCTTTGATTTTTTCTCTCGCTTGCTCTTCCCTTTCCCTTTCGCACTCTGTGTGTTTTGATGTCATTTGCTACACGTGCTTAAATTCATTTAATTTATTTAATACTTGAAAATACATTTATTGTTTACAATTGCACAAGAAACAAACCCTCCGTTCATTTTGCTCAACCCTCCAGCTTGTCATTGAGAAAACTACTTGAACTATGGTATTGGGTGTGACTGAAAATGAATTCTTATTGCGTGTTCGATACGCTGCGTAACACTGCGAGTGAGCCCTGGCATCGCCGCTTAGGGATTGATTCCCATTCATTTGCTGACGATACCTCGCAAGGCACAGGCGTGCCAATCGAACGGCCTTGGAATGTTGTACTAGAACTATATGTATGCAACAGCGTTGAATGCATCTGCATTTGCATATTTGTAGTCATGGCTTATAATTTGGTACACTACTCGTTCCAAGGCTACAATCTTGCCCACCGGCTCTGTTTAGACTGGAGAGCAGGTGGTGCGCAGTAATAAGCAACAAGAGCCAAAGACATTCTTATCCAATTACGGTATTAAATATCTAAGCTTTGCAAATGCCCAAACAGATAGGGTGGACCAACAGAGATTGAATAGTTTCGACATAGCCACGTAGAAAGCCCACCCATTCCTTCCAATACAAAGCTCTCGAGTTTCTAATACGCCAACTATTCCTCCTCCATCTCTCTCCCTGTATAACAAGAGTTCCGAGAATCGAATCCGTGATCCAACAACTAAGTGAAAAGACAAATTAATTTAGCGTAAGATCAAAGCCCACACATACAAAATATGAGTGGCCTGGGTCCGGCTGCCTGTTGGCTAGCACACAAGCGAATCGAATCGTGGTCCCGCATGGCCAAGGAGCGCGTTGGTGCCGTTCGCCGTGTTACACTTGACCGCAACTCGGCTGAAGATAGCGCTGGCAGTGGTAGTGGCAGTGGCAGTGGCGGCAGCAATGGTTGCACCCAAGTGCTGCCAGGAAGCGAGGGTGCGGCATCCACGACGCCGCCGCCTCTGCAGCCGATGACGCCGCCGCCCTCGGCATCATCGGTGACCTCGACGACGAGCGGCATTGGCAGTGTGTCCGCTGGTAGTGGCAGCGATAGTTGTGATTTGCCGACGGATTCAGAGGTGCTTTACCAAAAATCACTACCGCTTTAGTTCCAAATTTAAATATCCGATATTGTGTCGTTTGCAGGAAGTCAATATTTCTAAGGAGTCACACACAATTCAACCTGCCACACAGCTTCATGGCATCCCGTGTGTACCGACCAATCCGATTCCATCAGACATTTTGCGTGGTCCTGCTGAGATATTTCACAGCCCATTGCACTTGCACCATCAGAGCCGTTCCTTTCCACCGCGGCTACAGCGAACACCCTCTATTTCCAGTCAGAGCAGTATGGATAGCGCTCCCTCCCGGCAGTCGGTGAGCTCACTCCTCTAAAATTCTCTTCTCTATGCCTTGGTTTATCTGTAATAATAATAATGCAATGTAAAATATTAGGGACATCGCGGCTCTTCACCCCAAATAAGGACGTTTGGACCCGACGGACGAAGTTCTCTTCCGAGTGATTCAGCGTTTCCCCACCATCTGCCCCGTTCGCCCAGTCCCATGCGGACCATTTCGCTGGATGCTCGTTGCAGCAGCCCGGCTTCAGCTGATGTAAGTGTCATGCGGACCCCCAGCCCTTCCCAGAGCAGCCTAGCCTCTTTATCTGGTGGGTTCGGTGTTGGAACTGCGCCGAATATGGCTATGACTAGTGGTGTTGGATCTGTTGTTAGTAAGGGCATGAACATGAACGTGAATACTGGTCGCTGTCTCTCCCCACTGCTAATACCTCCGCGTCCTCAGCCCGGCATCGACCCAACTGTGGGTCCTGCTTCGCCACTGGGTGCCCTACAACCGGACCTATACCGAATGCCCGATGGACCGATCTACCTGACGGCCCCCGAAACTAGCCATGCCGTGGGCCGTTTGCACTTGCGGGTAAAATATGATTACCACCTATTCGACTTAACGGTTCACTTAATTGAAGGTGAGTAAATTTTAGCTAGATATCTGAGATCTAAAGCTTAAACACTTTGAACTTCATTGAAGCGCACAATTTGAGTTCCATTGAGGATGGCGGCTTCAGGGACCCTTACGTGCGTTTGATGCTTCAACCTGATGTAGATAATCGCAAGCGTCAAACACATATACACCGCGGCGAGTCGAACCCATACTTCGATCAGCACTTCAAGTTTCCGGTTTCCCGTGATCAGCTGCAAGGCAAAGAGCTTGTCCTGCAGGTTCTCGATTATGACAGATACTCGCACAACGACATTATTGGCGAAGTTCGCATTTCGGTGGGTGGCCTAGATCTATCAAAGTCCGTCGAGGTAAGCATTGTGCTCTTCGAATTCCGAAAACAATCTGTTATTTGTTATTCTCTATTATTTTATTCGACCTAGATCTGGGGGGACTTGCTACGCACCAAGAAGCCCAAAGAAGATCGACCAGAATTGCTCTGTTCCTTGAACTTTCTTCCACAGGCAGAACGTCTGACCATTGTAATAATGAAAGCCAGAAATTTGGATACTATTCAGGAGCCGTACGTCAAGGTATGGCAACAATTTGAACATAATTAAATATTTATCTTAATTGAATGACTTAATGTTAGATATATCTGATACAAAACGGAAAGCGCATAAAGAAGAAAAAGACAAGCATTTCAAAATCCGATGATCTAAGCAATCCCATTTGGAACGAGGCATTCACATTCAATCTACAATCAAATTACTTACAGAGTTCCGCCATTGAGGTGAGATTTCGTTAGTCAGTATTGTCAATAGTAACACAATCTCTTGTTTTAATATGTGTAGATCTATGTAGTCGGTGCGGGTAGCGAAGCGACTGAAATCGGCTGCTTTGGGCTTGGCCCCCAGGAAAGTGGAACTGGTTGTCAACACTGGCACGACATGATTAATAATGCACGCAAGCCCACAGCCATGTGGCACTACATCCGTTAAGGATTGCTTTGATTTCAACAACTTCAAATCTTCATCAAACGGTTTTCAAAGTACAAATCCCACATGATAAACAAGAGCTGAAAACCAACCTCATCAAGCGGGTTTCGAAGTACAAATCTTAACTGAAAGAAAGAGCTGAGAACTAGCTTGAGGGGATATCGGAAGCTTCTTACATATGCTTCTTACATATGCCAGTATTTATTAATAACTATAATTTTATAAACGTTTTTCTATGGTGTTTAAAGTTTAACCCTCTATTCCTATTACTATTTATAAGCATATATATTCTATATTTACTTAACGAGAAATACACAAGCTCACCCAAAAAGTTCCTACGGTGCCCGAACAAAACGAGCAGCCAACCTTCATTCAATCTACATTCTGAAAAGAAAAGGATACGAAAAAGGACCCGATTCGAGTAAAGGAAGAATGGGGCAAGTCAGCGGAGTTGTTGACATTTTGGTTCGCTTTGACGAAGAGAATTCAAGTGTGCATTTTTTAATAATTATGAATATGAAAACATTTCAACGGCATTTCGTTAGGTCTCAAACGGTCGTCAATCACCGCCCCTTGAAATTTACTTAGACCACAGCAACAAGACTGACGGACTGCTTTGTACCGACGACAGTTGACAAATTGCTCCTGTTGTCCTTTTCGAAGCGTCAGTATGAGTTGCACCCATGTGCGAGCGTTTTGGCACTCATGGAGTGAGTGCCCATGGTTGACAGTTTAGAGTGCAAGTAGGCGACCTACGAGCTATAACTAACCATATACAAACACAAACATACAAAAGAAAGTTTTACAATTGTTTGCCTCTGACTATACACAGCAACTTTATGCGCTGCAGTCGTCACAGTTCGCACTATGCTCTAGAATGTATCTATGCACGAATGGCAATCAGACATACAAAGAGAAGCTCTGCTGATTTACAGAACCATTTGCCAGGCTCATAATAAGAGTCGATTTTTCATTGCATTTTCGGGCTGTCGCGCACCATTAGATTCGATTGTCCGTGTTTTAGCATTTAGACACATGTATGTATACGGATTTGTCTGCGTTCTCCTTGTGACTGCAATATGCTGAATCTTCTTGATTAAGTCCAACTATGGCAAGTGTGGTGATGGCATGTGGTTAGTGATACTATGGGACAAATGAAACGCCAAGAACAATGCAACTGGTTTACTTAAGAGAATGTTCCTATCATTTCAAGCAGCCCACCATTTGGCAATTATTATGAATATTCCGTATACAACGATATCAACATTAATCCTTCACTGTTTGTCGATGGTAACTACATACATAAATTATAACATACATACATACATACGTACATACATGTATGTATATCGCATATACATGAATGCAGTATATAAGGAGATAATTGAATTATTTCCTCTACTCCCACAATATTATTATTCTATTTTTGATGTTGTACTACTATTGTATGAATGCAGAACAAGCTTACTGTAAAATATACACTATATATAAGGTAAACATATGAATACATGTCATATAAACATGTTTATATAAGCCATAAAAAAAAATACATATATATATATATACATATATACATATGTATACATATATGTTATATAAGTTTATGAAATTCGCATCACTTATTATCTTACTGCAACTATTTTTAAAACCAAAAATTAATATATATTTGAAAGACTTGGAGAGATTGTACATCCTAAACTATATATAAATATATATATACATATATATATGTTCTAATGCCATTTTAAATATGTATTTGTAAAATTAAATGTTTAGTTTCTCAATTTTTCAATGTAAATTATTATTTTATATATGCACATATACTTATACATAATATACATAAAATGCGTATGATCAAATTATTCAAGATATATAATAGCTTATATATACATATAATATTGACAAAGAAAAACTCATAAGCTGAAATACCTCCGACTTATCTAAAATTACTATACAACAGAGATTGTGACCTAAGCGAAATACTAACGATTTATTTCATGGAAACAATGAAAACTGTTTACACAAGAGTTTACTATTCTACTCTACTGAAAAATAAACCAAAATATCTCAAAATATACCACCTATTCGCATATTGATATGCATACAAAATCTATGTGAACAATTTATTTCTTAATTATTGAGTGAATAAATACACACACACACAAAATAAAAACTTTTTGTTAAGAATTCGCACAAAATATTGAAGTTAAAGTAAGTATCAGAATAATCGAACATTTTCAGATAAATGAAGAATAAGGACAGATGCAAATAAATATGCCTAAACAATACTTAGCAAACTAATTTTATTGTCAATAAACCTTTTTGTTACTTTTTATACCCTGAACCCATTGAAAATGGGAAATCAGGGTGTAATGGTTTTGTTGAAATGTATGTAAGGAGGCGTGGCAGACCCCACAAAGTATATATATTCTTGATCAGGGCAACGAGCTGAGTCGATTTAGCCCTGTCCGTCTGTCTTTTCGTCCGTCCGTCCGTCCGTCCGTCTGTCCGTATGTTTGAACGCATCGAGTTCAGAAGATATTAGAGCTAGAGACTTCAACTTTTTTTTTTAAATGTCCGTATATATCACGCGCGTATCGAGCTTAACACTAAAAAACGATAACTCATTCCGATATTTTTTTTATCGATATAAAACCTTATCGAAGATCACTTAAATAATTATATCTCCTACATCTTTCAAGCTAGA